GCATTGTCAACACCGTATACCAAGCGTTAATGGATATGGAGGCGGAGCTGCCGGCCGATTCGTCAGACAGTGAGGATGGCCCTGTTACGCGGTCCATCATTGAGCCATTCATGAAGCCACCGCCCAAGTCGCACTATCCCGACTATTACATGGTCATTCAGAACCCGATCGCCATGGATATGATCAAGAAGAAGATCAACCGTGAGGAATATCAGAGCCTGAAGGACTTCCGAAATGACATCCATCTCCTCTGCCAAAATGCCCGGACTTACAACGAGGATGGCAGCATCCTGTTCCAGGATGCCAATGACATCGAGGTGAGTTGACATCTGTAAGCAGTCGAGATTCAAAGCAGCCACTAACAGTATCTAGGCAAAATGTTTGGCGGAGCTCCAGAAGGAGACCGAAGGCTACCCACAGTTTGCCAACTACGATGACCTGGGTGGACAAGGCGGAAATGACCAGTCGACTGCAGCAGCATCGGGGGCCGATACACCTTCAGCGGTTGCCACGCCAAAGCTGAAGCTCACGTTCAATAGCGGCAACCGAGATAATGCTGCGGCTGCAGGAGCCGGCAATGGCGTCAACGAGACTGATTGACATTGCTAATAGACGTTGGTGAAGACATAGTGGCTGTGATTTCTTGACATGGTTTAACGTGTTGCAAAAACTTCGAATACCTGCACATTACATTCTATGCTGTTTTGATCTGTCTTTGATATGCCCCCCCCCATCTTCTTTTTCCTACCGACATTTGCTCTGCGGATGGCGTTCCTGTGACCTTTTGGTTGCTGGGGATGGACGATGGTTGATGGCGCACTGCTCTATTCGATTTGAAGACGAGCGATTTCTCCTTTTACACTTCTCTCCCCGGGATCCTCTTCGAATTTTCTATTACTACACCTGTTTTTTTTTTCTTCCTCTCTCATTTACCATTTTCCTCATTCGAGTGCCGACGATGTCTAGACCGGGCAGGTCGTGGATCTTTCACTGTCACTTCGGGCTCGACTGGGAGGGTTCTGCCTGCCAGGGGGAGTCTCGCTTTTGAAGATGACATTGGTTGTAATTGGATCTTCAACTATGTGATTTATTAGCGACGGTCAATGTAGCCCTACGTAATGTACCATGTTTGATGTTGGTGTGTGCAAAATTATGCCGGGTGGAATTCTATAGCTACGAGGGTAGACAGATTGATTGTGAGATACCGACAAAGAAGAATACTATCAATGTACACTTGCCATTGTGTGTGTATTACAAAGCAGCTGGGGTTTAATTACATTGGTCGGCTTTTTGCTTTGTAGCTCGGTCGCAAGATGCGCATTAAACCAGTAGATTGCTGAACCAACTTGGCACAGCAACAAGCTACACATTCGCATTGGAGACACATATTTTTACAATAGTTCTTCGCGTTTCAGCCTGTTTCCAGAAGGGAACTGAAAAGCAAAGCGTGGTTCGCTAACTCATTAGCTGAATCCCTCTCTGCCTATCAGGTTCATAGGCTTATATGGATGGTGGGATAGAATGTATGGATAGAATGGAAACTAATTCCGCCCACGCACACACACACACAAACATAAACACGATAATCCACTTCTTTCCACCAGATGCTGTTGTCTAGAATATTTCTAGAAAACCATGACACCTTCTAGTATCTATATTATACTTACCTAAGTGATTCTCTCTTTAGAGAATTTCCACACCTACAAAAAGTAGATAGATAGATACTAGAGAGATAGTTGCATTCCGACCTGTGTGGAAAATGGATTGTTTTGTTGGATGCACTGCAGATCTTATTACGTATCAAACCCCCGGTCAATCCAAGTCTGAACTTTGGTAGGCGATCGGGATTCGTTCGATCTTTGGATGGGGACGGGAATGGATCTTCTATTCTTTCTCCCGGGTTGATTTCTCTCTCTCTCTAAACTATGTATAGAAGGTGGGCTTTATTACTGGGGAGGAGAAGGAGGTTCGATTATTGGTTGATGGGGGATGGATGCAGATGCAGAATTCATGTACCTACTTCCTTAGTCACTACTACTAGGTTCAAGCAGGCCCTAAATTTTGTCCTCTCTTCTCTATCCACTACCTACTTATAAGATACTTTTTTGGTGGTTGGAGTGTTTCTCTACTATGATTCAACATCGGGATAGTGTACTCACACATATGTTGGGAAATAAAACGGTAGATATCACTACTATGTATAGCCATATCAGAGTCGTTCAATAACTAATATTAATCAATAACTCACTATGTAATGTGAGGGATAAATCCAGCCCCAGTGGAGCCCCAAAGCAGAAGAAAAAAAAACAAAAAGCGCTGCACAGAAAGGGAAAAAAAGCCCTGCCGTCAGGACCCGAACGAGACCCCCCGTAACATACACTACTATACTAGTAGTACATCGCTGATACCGAGTGTATCAATCGAATTGTCTGGAAAGTAATTCCCTCCAGAACTCATACATACCCTGTATAGTAAGCACAAGAGGTAAAATCATAAGAAATCAAGCACACGACCAACATCCCCATCTGATCCACTCTGTGAGGATTAACTCTCATCTGCTACTATTCCGGTCAACAGATTGCCCTGCTGGAACGTCATCTGGGGACAATCAAATGGCCAGCCCTCGACGTCATGAGCCCATCACGTGACCCCACCGTCATCCCGGCTGGCGGTTCCGTAACCGCCAGCTCGTCCTTTCGAATCTCACCTGCTCGTTCGTCCTCCTCTTCTCCCTCTGCCGCGCCCTGATAACGACCGAATCCGACTTTCGCTGTCCCTTCCTCAAGAGTTTACGAAGCCAGATCTTTCATTCTTCTCTTAGTATAGCTTCTGCTATCTTCATTTTCCCTCCAAAATGGCCTCTTTCCAGGATCGTGCTCAGCACGCCATTGCCCAGCTCGACAAGGAGGTAAGTCGTGTGTGCGTTTTCTGGTTTTGTGTCCTATTCCTCCCTGTCCACCCCCCCAATCGGTCTGCAAAGAGGTTCCTTCCTGTCGGCATTGTATCAGCTTTTTCTCTTCCTATCTTACAATGTTTACTTGTCGCGGAATGGAATCTTCGCGCAGCTGGGGGGATGGGGATGAAGTCGTGTTGTTGTTCTCCGATTTCTGCCTACTTCCCATATTTCTCAGCCGCCGCCAGTTTCGAAGCTATAACTAACCATCTCCTCTCCACACTTTAGCTCTCCAAGTACCCTGTCCTCAACAACTTGGAGCGTCAGACCTCCGTCCCCAAGGTCTACGTGATCCTTGGCCTCGTCGGCATCTACTTCTTCCTGGTCTTCTTCAACATCGCCGGTGAATTCCTCGTCAACCTCGCTGGTTTCCTCATCCCTGGATACTACTCCCTGAACGCTCTGTTCACCGCCGGAAAGGCCGACGACACGCAGGTATGCTCTATCTTTTTATCCCCTACTAAATTTTTTGAAGATACAAATTGTGCTTATGATCGTGTTTCTGCGTTTAGTGGTTGACGGTATGTTACTCGTGATCCCTCCGTTATCTCGACATAACTCGGGTGTTTCATACGCCTAGGTTATCTTTCTGCACGTGACAAGGTGCATTCGTCAGCTAGCGGTTATACTGATTGGCATGTGATTCTTCTAGTACTGGGTTGTTTACGCTTTCTTCACCGTCATTGAGAGCGCCATCTCTGCTCCTTACTGGTTCCGTAAGTAGTCGCAATGGTTGATGTGATTTGTGGCAGTGGAACGTTCGTGAACTGATCGCGACTCTTTCAATACAGCCTTCTACTACATCTTCAAGTTCGCCCTTGTCCTCTGGATGTCTCTCCCCCAGACCAAGTAAGCTATCCACCACCCGCAATTATGCACTCACCGAGAACAACCCGACTGACCCTCTTCTCCAGCGGTGCTCAAATTGTCTTCCACTCCTTCATCCAGCCCGTGCTCGGCCGCTTCTTCCAGGGCGGTTCCACCTCGGCCAACCTCCGCGCTCAGGCCGAGGCTGCCGCCAAGGACCAGTAAATAGCTAAACCGTGAAGTCCGGGGTGAATCTGTGGGTTTGATCTCGATCAATTCCCAGAGTCAGTCGACTGTGTCTCGGTTTATGTTTTTTTGGGGGAAATTTTGCAAAACAAAGGCAATACGAAAGACTTCCTTCCGGGATAATCTCGCAATGCCGATATGTTTGGAAAAATATTCGATGTAACTGGATGAAGCGGTGTGATTGATGGATGGATTGATTGATTGATTGATTGATTGATTGATACGATACGATACTTTGAGCCTTGTCAGGCGAGAATTGGGCTATCCTTGTGTCTGTGTGTGTGTGGTTGCTTTTTTCATGCTGTTCCTTTTTCATTGCCATGACTTGAATCTAAGTAGAATTGCGTGTTGAATCTTTTTGCGTTGATTGGTTGGTTTGGAAAGGGAGAGGACACCACCGTGCTCCTCTCCCACCCCCATAGCTGTGTGGTATTATTATCATTATAGCTATACTTTGATGCATTATGCCTCCGTTTCTTGGTAAAATTGAGCAATTGTCAATGACTTGATTTGACTTGACTTGACCCTCCTGGTTATCATTCATTCATTCAATCCTTTCCTTGTCTCTTCTCTTCTCTTCTCTTCTCTGTCGAAGTGAACCGGGAAATGTAAGTGATGGATATGAGGGGGTATAAGAAACATTTCATCCTCTGGATCGAAACCTGAAGGAGAGGGACGTCATGTCGAAAAGGACAAAGAAAGCGGGTAAAATACACTTGCAAAAGAATCAAAGCTGGTTGATGTGATTATAGACGCCACCGACGCCGGAATGGAAATCAATAGACCAGGGTGGTGGTGGTGGCGGCGGGCTACTCCTGGGCAAAGCACATAGGTAGCATTCCATACGAAACCCAAGATGTGCGCCCTGCCACGCCAGCCCTGCCCTGCGCATCGTTTTTCATGTATGTCATAGCAATATTCGCGTCCAGGTAACCGTAGCCTGGGCACATCTTTTGTGAGAGAGAGAGAGAGAGAGAGAGAGAGTGTGTGTGTGTGTGTGTGTGTGTGTGTGATTGGGAGGAAAGAAGTAGTAGAGGGGGGTAGGGGTAGGAGGGTTAGCCTGCATCAGTATAACCCGAAGCGATTCTGCCAACCATCCGATCTGGGGTTCAGAACCACGCGATAAGGAAACGGATTCGAATCACTCGTAGTAATCGGGGGAATGTGCTCCTTATCGCGGCTAACCACGGCTAGAATCTTCAGGACGGCTTTCTGTAGCATATTCTCCATGGCTTTGCGCACTTTGGCGCGTTCTAGACCCGGGAATCACATGTCAGTACAGGAGGGAGAGAGGTAATAGCTTGGCGGATGGGTGTTGAGTGTGGGGGTTTGGGTTGCGTCCATACCAGACTCTGTTCGAGGAGTGGCTATCGTCACATCCAAATTCCAAACTTCCCAGCATACTTCTTCCTCGCCCTTCCCTGATAGTCCGCCAAACCAGATTCCCGGTCGTCGGCGTCGCTTTTCGTAGAATTCCACGGCCATTCGGGCCCGGACACCCCCGCCACCGCCGCCATCGGGGGCGCTGGCTGCTGAGGAGTGCTGGCGGACGAGGGAACTCACGCGAGAGTCGATGAGGGTTTCGAGGTCTACGTCGTTGATAGCGGGGAGGGTGAAGTCGAGGACGTCGAAGGTGATGGGGCGGATGGAGGGGAAGTATCGGTGGAAGAAGATGGTGTTGAGGATACCTGGTTGTGGAGAGAGTATGTTAGTGTTTAGGCTGTGTAGTTGTACAGGGAAAGGTTCAGTGGGGAGAATAACTGATTCACCTTTTAACACGTCGCGGACGTTGGTTGTATCTGCGAAGATCTCCAGAAAGTACTCCGGGGGCGTTTTGCGGGGCTCCATCTCGACGGGGATAGCGACCGGTGCCACCCTGTGTATGTGTAGAGAAATTAAGTGAACTCAGCGATCGACAGGCAACAAATCACTGTCCAGTTAAGTGGGGAGCTGAGTTGCCCAGCGGGGAAGAGGTTCCGACGTGTTTAGTCGAAGGATGGAACAGATCAAGTCTGGGGTTGAAGGGGTGGGAACCGGTGATGACGATGACGCTGGCGTTCGGGGGAGGGGGACAGAGCGGGATTGATTGACTAGGACCGGTGTGGAGAGGTTGACATGGAGAACGGGTTATGGGGGAGGCATGATCTGCTGGGGATACAATCCATGTGTATTTTATGATTAGGAAGATGGAATGGGGGGGCTATATATGGAGGAGTAAGAGGGAGAAGATAAAGAAAGAAAGAGAGATAGAGGAGATGATGATGATGATGAAGGGAAGAATAATGGGGAGTCATGGCGTGTATGTAATGATGGGGTGCCCCTCGCCTGTGACGGTATGATGGCTGTTCTCCTTATCCCTTATCAGCCCTGATAGGGGGCATCCGCACCCGTATCGTCTGGTATTGGCGGTACCTGGCCAGCACTGGCCTGGCTGCCTAAGGTTGGTTCGCATTCAATGGTCGGACAGAATCAGGCCGAGATGCAAATGAAAAGAGCAGAAACACCGTGACTTATAACGATGATGCAAATAATTGCGGGGATGAAGTGGCACAAACTATTGCCATTTGGCCTTCCCCAACAACTAGCTCACACTCGTTCCTTTCTGGTTACGACTAATCTACAGACCACCATATATCCTCGCATCCGCCATAGCCTGACTGATCCGCTGGTGACGATCATACGTGTTGCTGGCTGCTCTTTAGCCGAGGCCGCTTCAGGGACCCTCGATCCCCGACCGTGCTTCCCGTCGCTCTCCCATCACTCACGCCGTCTCTTCGGCTTCCCTTGTGATTCCCAACCTCCATTATTCCTTTTCTTCCTTTTTATTTCACTTCATACGATGAACTGTATTGCTCCATATATTTGAGAAACTGTTCCCGATCCTCTTTGCTCCATAATGATCAGTGCCACTAAGCGCTGGTTCCGGCGCAATCGCAAGGGCCTTGCGATCGGAGCTGGCGTGATCGGAGCGGGCTATCTCGCAGGCCAGTACCTGCTGTCCAAGATCTCAGAGGCGCGCGAGCGCATGAGTAGTGACCGCATTGCTCGGGAGAAGTAAGTGATGAGCCTCCCTTACCTCCTCTTATCTCATCGATGTGACCTGCTCGCGTGCTCGAAAACGGTAACTGACGGCTATTGCCTCTTGTCCAGCTTGCGGCGACGCTTCGAACAAAACCAGACCGACTGTACCTATACAGTGCTGGCCCTACTACCGACGGCGGCGGAGGATATTCTCGAGGCACTTCCTGTGGAAGAACTGACCAAGGAGCTCCAGAAGAAGCGTGCAGAACGACTGGCTCGTCTTAACGCTGGCGAAGGAACAGGCTCGGATCTAAGCTCGGTGGGCCCCAGTATAACGGATGATGATCGGCGTAGCTTGTCTAGCTTCCAAAGCGATGGATTTGTCCGTACGAGTCAATTAGGGGAGTCGACCATCGAGGGGGGCGGCTCACCACGTCCGAAGCGAAACAAGACCCAGCTGTGGAACGAGGTCAAGATAACCTGTGAGTATCATCGTCGTTTCTTTACAGGAACCAAGGAGTCTAACAAACCATCATAGCTATCACTAGGTCGTTTACGCTCATCTATACCCTGACCTTGCTGACCATCTTCACTCGAATTCAACTTAACCTGCTCGGCCGACGCAACTACCTCTCCAGCGTAATCTCCATGGCCACACCCCCTGCGGATGGTTCAACTATTCGACTTGAGGACCACGATGATGACGACCTCACGCAAACACTTGGACATGACTTTGAGACGAATCGGAGATACCTTGCCTTCAGTTGGTGGCTGCTTCACCGAGGCTGGAAGCAGTTGATGGATGAGGTGCAGGCCGCCGTGACGGAGGTGTTTGGACCTTTGAATCCCCGGGAGGACATCTCGCTGAGCAAGCTGTCGGAATTGATCCTGCAAGTCCGTGGGAAGATAGAGGGCAAGACCGAGGAGGACCGGAAGTACGTTTTCTATGAGCAAGTCTCACTGGCCGGATGCTGACCCGTTATTCTTTCAACAGACATCGGAAGTGGTTATCTTATGTGCTCCCCTCGCGAGAAGAGGAGGACTATCTGTTGCAGGAGTCCGGGGTTCTTGGAGTAACGGAACCCGCGACACCTCAGACAACAGCGTCGCTGCGCCATCTCCTGGACGAGACGGCCGATCTGATCGACTCTCCGACTTTCATTCGTGTTATGTTACTCCTCAACAACGAATGCTTTCAAACTCTAATTGACCAATGCAAGGCCGATGCGTTCAAATCATCCACGCAGGTGCCCACATCTGTTCCTCAGTCCTTCGACTCGGTCGCCACGGTCGTCCCCGCGGCTGACGGCTCCGACACGAAAACGAAGCTGGCAAATGTGCTGGCCGTTCTGGCTCGGCAAGCCCATGTGATTGGAAATGGAACAGCTCCCCCAAACCTGTATCTGACCTCCATTGAACAGGGGGTACGAGAGCTAGAGGCCTTTGCGGCTGTTATCTACAGCTCTAACTTTGACTCGAAGCTGCTCGGGACCGATTCAAGGACGCAGCCATCGGGAGTAGAGGCGGGCTTTGATGTTCCTACATCACCTGCCCTAGAGATGATTGAGAAGGAGGATGTCAACGAAGAAGGACCCACCCCAGGAGCATCCGTCGTAGCAGTGGACGATGACTCGGCATTCGAGAAGGCGTGGGGAAAGGCTGTGGATGATCAACCGTCGAGCAATTGACCGTGTGGCCGTGTGCGGGCTTTTTAGAGAAGTTGTGGGGAATTTCGGGAATATCTGTGGCATCAAGGGTCCTTAAATCTATCCGGCGTCTCATCTCGGCGCGGACTGGGAGAGAGATGGTACGATTGTATGATAGCTCGTGGTGGCGAGTATTTATTATTCATGACAAGCTAGCTTATATGGGTTATGGGTGTTCTAGAACCATTACCGGAAGGATGGGCATATTGCTAGATTGCAAGTTGAAAGTATCATCGTACGCGTGATCTCAATGATCCTCAGGATGTTGGGGGGACGTGGGACGAACGAAGGGCAGCACGTGGCCGGCCAGTGCCACGCATGGACCCAAATGATCAGACATGACACTCTTGTCCCGAGCAGCTTCGGAGACTTCTATTTGCGCACTTATGCAGGTTGTGCGACTGGATACGGCATCTGTGCCACCCGGTCCAGAACTCGCTCTCTCATTGGACCTACATTGTGCATTTAGCTTTATGTTGCAATCTATGAATTTTGTAGTGGCCTGAAAGCAGGAAATTTCGACAGTGTGTAGATACTTTGTTGTCGTTGCGATGTCTATAACTCTCCATTCTATGATGCCTGAAGCTTAGGGTACGAACTGCTCGAGAACTGCCGATTGTGGGGTAGATAAGCTTAGCGAAGGAAGGGATCTGCGGGGAAAAAAAGGTGGGTTTGGCACGGCTACTATCTACTACTACTAATCTTCAACTGGAGTCCACTTGAGTTAGTTGGCCATGACTGGACTATTGCCGTAAAAATACATACTCTCTACTACTGCTTACTCTCTACTCCTTCTAGACTAGGTCTGTAATTCCGGGACAGGGAATGTGCAGACTGGATGGAGCTTACAGCCGGCATATTCTCCTCCATTCCTCCTAAACTTTCTCCCCCTCGGCATGTTACATCCGCCCAGACTGGTATCATCTTTGGTTCCAACCCAGATAAAGCCATCATCATGGCCTCAGACTATACAGATAGGACAGCCGGATGAAACCTTCGAGTGGCATAGTCGGGAGGCACCATGGATCGGACAATCATGCTAAGCAATGCCCAGCCTGTCAGGCTATCTGACCTGCGGATTAGGCCGAAATGGGTAGAATGTATCCGACCCGTCTCATTCCCTCGCTAATGTAAGGCCTCCCGAGTCAATGAGTTAATTGGTCCTCCTCCACTGCCGTGTTCATCACATCGGCCTGTATAGGCGATTGGCTAGCTTGGATGGTTCGTCAGCCGCCATCAAAGCAGTCCGTATTCACTATCAATCTTGTCTGGCACCCCTGCTTGCCCCTCTTGTGCGCTGTCTTTTCTTCTTCTTCCTGCTCCTTTCTGCGTGGCCAATTGTCGTGGTCCTCTCCTTGAAATTGTGTCTCTGCACCTTATCTTGTCTGTTTACGCGCTCTCCGTGACATACATCCCTTGCTTCTCGATTACTGTTATTGCATTTTATATCTGTCGAGAGTACACCCTTGTCAACTGGAGTAATTCGGTCACAAAATTTCTATCCATCGTGTCGCAATCTAGCGCAGAGACACAGAAGCATACAACAGTATCCATATTTCCGCCCACCAGTCACAATGGGGTCATCCGAAGGTACAGTTCATATGAATCGAGGTCTCACGAAGACAATAGTAACCTTCAGGCTGCGTAAACAGAGTCAATAGATCGCTCTCCTCAGCCCGAACCCGGATTGAAACCCGAGGGCCACATTGAAGCGCTCACATCAGATCTTCCTCCTCTCACCACAACCACGGAGCGCAGGCTCATGGCCAAGATTGACTGGCACATCGTCCCGTGTCTCTGCGTCCTGTATCTGCTTGCTTTCCTGGATCGGTATGTGCCTCCTGCTGCCTCGGTAATGGGATATAATGTTCATAACGGTTTGTGCCTGGTATAGTGTCAACATCAGCAATGCGGCCGTACTCGGGCTCGAAACGGACCTCAACATCGCTACGGGAACGAAGTACAATACCGCGCTCACTATATTCTTTGTGCCCTACGTTATATTCGAAATACCATCCAATATCTTGCTGAAGAAGTTGAAACCTCATGTATGGTGTACGCATCCAATGTCCATGGGCACCGTTATACACCCCTTGATGGGTTGCTGATGATAACAGTGTCTTTTTGTATGTTCGGGTTCGGCCTTGTCATGATATGTCAGGGTTTAGTCTCGAACTGGGGTGGACTGATGACGACACGCTGGTTCCTGGGTATGAAGGCAATCGAATTTTCCGACACATAGCTAATATTGACACAGGAATGTTTGAAACTGGCATGTTCCCTGGATGTAGGTGGTCTTTTTCCCAGCTCTAGGGAACTTTCGCTAACAGAGTGCCTCCAAGGCTTCTATCTTTTGGGCATGTGGTATAAGCGCAGTGAGGCACAGAAGCGCTTTAGTTTCTTCTTCAGCTCGACCACGCTAGCGGGCGCCTTCGGCGGTCTGCTTGCCAGCGGTCTAGGGAAGATGGCCGGACTCCGAGGCTACGGGGGCTGGCGGTGGGTTTTCATCATCGAGGGAGTTATCACCTGCGTGGTTGCCATTGTCTGGTTCTTTATAATCCCGGGGTTCCCAGAGGATGTCAAGTGGCTTAATGAGGAAGAGCGAACGTACATCCGGGCTAAGCTGGCCCGTGATGCAGGGAAAGCTGGGCATAATGCTCGTATGGGTTGGCGCGATGTGTTGGCTGTGTTCAAGGACTGTAAGTACATGCGAAGACCAGAGGGTGCCACCACATTCCTGCATATGCTGACTGGAATATAGACAAGATCTTCCTTGGCGGGTTTATGTACTTTGGGCAGGTTGTCACAGCATATGGTAAGCTTGGTTTCCATCTTAACCCATGAGTATTCGGGAAGTAGTATATGTTAACAAGCTCAGGATATGCTTTCTTCGCCCCGACTATTATCAAGACCTATGGCTACGGAAGTATGTATATGTCACCACCGAATGCGCTGTATACTGAGCTTTTGTACCAGCCATCCAAACCCAACTGTACTCGATTCCACCATGGGCAGCCGCGTTTGCATTCTCGATGATAATTGCAACGTTTTCGGATCTAACCAGACACCGGTTGGCTTTCACTTTGATTCCTACAGCAATTGCTATGGCTGGATTTGGAATACTATTGAATGTACACGGAGAGGCTCATCGACACGTCCAATACGGCGCGCTCTTCATGGTGACCTGTGGCTGCTATAGTGCAATGCCGGTTATTGTATGTTGGTTTGCTATGAATCTAGGGGGTCATCGCAGGCGCAGCGTGGGCACGGCATGGCAGGTTGGGTTCGGGAACAGTAAGTGACGTCGACACAAAAGTATAAATAGATGACGCTGCTGACATGGGTTATCTACCAGCGGGAGGTATCATCTCCACATATGCATTCCTAGCCAAAGATGCGCCTGAGTATCGGAATGGTTATATTATCAGTCTGTCGTTCATCTGCTTCTCCGCGGCCTGCTGCATTGGATACTTTGTGGCTCTCTGGGCGGAGAACAAGCGACGAGACCGGGTCATGGCCAACGGCGCCCCCGCGGAGCTGCGAGAAGATGAAGAAGAGGTCCAGGGAGATCTGGCGGTGACCTACCGCTACGGCTATTAAGAAATTTTTCCAATGCAGCTTGAGGATCCTATCTTTAATTCTGGCGGACATCTACATTCTACATAGAGCACGATGTTATTCATAGTTATACCGTAGTAGATAGGGCTAGCTAGGGCTGTCCTTGATAAGACACACGAACAGGTGAAACGAGATTATGGAATCTAAATGCCATTGAACGCATCATAACAACCGAATCTTTTTTCCTCAATGGTAATGAGTTCCCACCGCATGCCACGGTACTGAAGGTACACGCACCGAGAGGGTTGATGTCACGGGCAAGGCCCAAAGCGGTAATGCCTGTCTCGGTAAAGCAGTGGATGACAATCAGCGAGCCAATCAGCGCCAGCGCAACACTAGCGAGCCCTTAGCGGCATTGCATGCTGAGTCAGCCACGGCGCACACAAGAAGCTCAACCGCGGCCGCTCTCCATCATTCTTGCAACCATCTCTTCATCCTCGCAGAAGTGTGAGTACCCCCTCCCAGCCTGCACTGTTTGCAGCGCTTTGTCGTCCAGCTGGGCCAACAGTGACTGACTGACTGGTATCAGTTTCGAATTCTCTTCGAAGATGAGAGCCAAGTGGAGAAAGAAGCGCGTCCGTCGCCTCAAGCGCAAGAGAAGAAAGATGAGAGCTAGATCGTGAGTGCTATCCAAAGCCATCAGCAAATCAGATCAACCGGCAATCAACTAACTAATTCCGCAGCAAATAAATTACTCGCCCACTCCATCTCAGCTCTTCATGTGAACGCTCAGTTTGAACGCTAAACATGACAATTGCGACGACGTCACGATGATGATTCCAGTTATGATCGTTACGTGGTTCGGTATCTCAATCGAGGCCTGTCTGGTCTGCCACAACATTCTCGGTGCAATCGACTTCGGAGCCCGCCGTTCATCTACACATCCAATCCCTCGGGCTCGTTATAACGTTTTCGATCTTCTCTTGATTTCCTTTTGATCCAGACAGTGGGGGTGCGAGTGCCGCATCTTTTCCTTCGGAGGTACGAATGTGTTTGGTGGGGTTGGAAGGCATGGTGGAAGAGTCGAATGGTCTTTCTGTATTCCTGTACTATCTTACTCTTTGCCATTGCCGATGAGCTTTGCGTGGGGACTGGTCAATTTCTCGTGTCCTGGGTTCTATTGGGGAAATCCGGTGGAATTCCGGGCCATGGAGAGGTCATGAGAATTTATTCCAAATACCAAAAAGTTTACGACGCACATGATGTTCCTTGTAAATCATAAAAACCACTGTAGCATGATCTTGTAGAAAAATAAAATCGTGATATCCAACTTATCAATCGGACTATAATGATAGGGCCATATTGAACTAAGAAGATTGTGTGCGCATGAAGGCTACCTGCCCGCCTGGAGTCTTCTCCGCCTTCCGCTCACAGCCCGCCTGACCGCCTTCAACTTTTTTTCGTGGAATTTTCCCTCCACCTGCCCGATAATCTCCCTACCAGTCAATTCTCTCTCCGCGGCGTCGCATTTTCCTTCAATTCCTTATCCAGACATAATGCCGTCCGATAAGGTCGAAAAGAAGCGCAAGCGCGCCTCCGATCGCCATGAAAGGCCTAGCAAGAAGCCCGCGCTCGAGCTGCAAGATCTGCCTCCGCTCGCCTCCAGCGTCGTGGAGGATGATAGCGAACTAGCTCCGGTGATCAGTATGCTGCACCTTCTTTACACATTGCCTTTCTGCCCTCATGGTACGGTCATATGGTATGGGAATAATCTAATGTAATGCACTTCAGTCACTACTCCCGGTCTCAACGCTCCGCGCAATCTCCGCCTCAACCCATACCTCAAGACCCGCAGCAAAACCTCCTCCTCATCGTCACGGAACAAGGGCATCGTCTCGTCCGAATTGCTGCTTCAGTCCTCCGAGCACCCCAAGCTGGACTTTGTGGGTCGCGAGGCCGAGGAGGATGCCGACTCCCAGCTCAAGCACTACGTCGCGGTCGTGGACCCGGAGAACAAAACCTGGCAGTTCATTGAAGTGCGGAAGATGACTCTGCGTGGCGCCGTTCGCAAGATGAGAGCGATTGACGAAGAGTCAGAGGAGGAGAGTGAAGAGGAAGAAATGGTTCGCTCAATCCTGTCCTCCATGATCTTCACCGGACATTGGCTGACCCTCCAACCCCCACTAGAAAACCATGCGCGCTCAAAGAACAGAACTCACCAACACCTTCGGTACCAAACAATCTCGCAAGGCCGCTCAATCGCTTGCCGAAAACGCTCAGCTCTCCAACGTGCCCTCGGGCGCTGCCTCCGCCGCCGAAACTGCCATCCTGGGCGCCATGCCCGCCGACGCAGCCACAGATATCGCCTCCAAGACCGCCGCCCTGCAAGCGCAGGTTCAAGCCGCGAAGCCTCTGCCCCAGGCCAACCTGGACGCTGCACACCCGTCGGAAGTCTACCCGCTTGATGTCCTCGTCCCCAACGGCCTGGCCACCCTGCGCCAACTCCCCAACGTCAAAGAATGGCAAGACAGCGTTAACTCCGGCGCCGCCGTCAACACCACCTCGCGGTACGTCTCCCGCCGCGTCGAAGCCGTCGCCCTCTCCGGCAACACCACCCACCTCCAGATCCTCCGCTTCATTCTCCTCCTCCTGGAATTTGCCCGCGGTCTCCGTCCCGGCCGCGACAAGTCCGCCGGCCCCGGCAGCAAGCGTCTTCCTCCCCGCGAAGACCTCCGCCGCATCCTCTCCGGTGGAACAATCAGCGAGAACTCCGCCAGCGGCGACCAGATCGCGGACCCGGTCATCGACGCCGTGCGCCGCAAATTCGCGCCCCAGGGTGCCTCCCTCTCCAAGAACGACATCACCTTCCTCCACACTACCATCTGCGCTCTCTCGCTGCACATCCCGCCCCAACCTTCCAAGGACGGTGGTAACAGCTCCGCCGGCGGAAACGCCCCCAACGAGCTGGCTACCGATCCCTCGGATCTCCGTGATGATCTGCGCCTCGATAACGTGGCGATCACGCAGTATTTCCGCGAGTTGGGTTGCCGCGTCGACAAGCCCCGCGAGTCGGAGTTTGCTAAATGGGGTATTAAGGGTGGTAAGGCCGAGGCTGCGGCTAGACGGGTTGCTAGGTTGAAGATTCCCGTTGAGTTCCCGAAGGTTAGTCGTGGTGGTGGACGGAGGTAGTGGACTTGATGGGGGAAAAGGTTTGTTTGGGTGTGATTGATTGATTGTAAGTTAGCATTATTTCTCTGTATGTATGGATGGATTGGCAAAAGAACGTCGATTTTCTACTTTCTTCAGCTGAACCACTTTGATGTGTTCAAGAACTTGCTGTAGTTCAATGTAGTTTAATGTAGTCCACTCGTAGATCATGCATGATTTCACCTCGTTGTCTCCTAGTAGACATTACTAGTACTAACCTACTCGGCGTACATCTGGTGTCCTGGAAATCAATCGTGCAGTATTAAATAAATTTACCAGAGTTCCGACATGACATATTATGGTAGGAGGTATATAAAAAGCTGAGTACAAGACATGATATCTATCACCCTTCATTTCTCAATCACTAAGTGAATATACTTAGCAAAAGATTCAGGACAACCCAATTGAAACAATTACATTCTAGTAAACGCCATACTACCAGCGAGGTCTATGTTAACTTCTGACTGTATTCATAAGTATGCGTAAATACGTCACATCATCTACACTACGAAGTTACTCAATATTCACCACCATTATGTGTCCAAAACCCAGGCAGGCACTTCTCATTAAGTTCTTTCTTTCTTTCTTTTCCCTTCATACAATACTCACATACCCACTTCTACTAATTAATCCATGACATACTACTACAACTAGTAATAAGTAGTAGTAGTAGTAGTAGTAGTAGTAGTAGTAGTAGTAGTAGTAATTAATAATAAAACCAATGATACTACTATTAAAAGGTCATCTACCCAATAACCCAACCTCTCCTTCACTAAATATCAACTATTCAGTAATATTCAAGTAAAAAACCTGTTAATAAACAAGTCATGTGGTACGTATACTATACGTCTGCTGAAGTGGATATGATATCATCGAGTATGGATGATGATGATGACATGAACGCCAACCCATATTAAGTCATTTGGGGGTAGCTTCATTCGAATCTCCATCTTCCCATGAAGCTGGTCGGTCAGTTGTAGGGAGGGCTTTTACAGGAACTCCATTATGATATGATCATTCTTCAAGCTGGCCAAATTCCACCACAAGGTATATACTATTTGTATGGGGAGACTGTATGCAGCAATAAATAATAGTCCTTAATGAGTAAACCAAAACCAAAGATATGCATATTTTCTTATAATATTGGCCATCAGTAAGGCTTTTACAGGAAGCTCTATACTACCATTGAAGCTGGCCAAGTCTTGGAAGTTACATTGTTTACAGGAAGACAGTATGATATCGAGGGCCGTGCTGGTTAGTAAATAGTAGGTACAGTGACGGCTCTGACATGGAACAAGCTCTTTCACTTCACCTTCGGTATAGTTGTCTACAATGGGAGAAGGCATAATACATACTACACTACGATATACTAGGAAGATTATTGCAGCGTAATGAGGAATAGACATGATCATTCGATCTAGAACCCAAAATCATCGGTAACGACAGGCCGGTTCCATGTGTCTTTATCCACCTTCATATTTCATATTATAGTAGGCAAATGTCCAGAGTCTGGTCATATGATCATGCTGGGGTTTAATCCGCCAGCAGAGGGAGAATAGTAGTAATAACGATCAACTGTGCTGGATGTGGTAACATCCAGACCACCACCTTAATAGCCTAAACCGGATAGGCTTAAGCGGCAGCCACTCCCACGGGGATCGAGGCAGCGGTGGCAGCGGCAGGGCGCACCGGAGTGGCGGTCTGCATGCGGGAAGCGGCCTGGGACAGCGCCTCGGCAGCGGCAGTCTGGAACTCCCGCGTCACGGCAGCTTCGACGGTCTCACTAGGCTGCAGGCCCAGCTGCGCGTCTTCCCAGATGGGCTGGTTGGCGGCCTCCGCACCCTCGACGCCCACGCCGACGAAGCCACCCTGGGCCTCCCAGTCACTGGCGCGCTTGATGCCCAGGTCGTTCCAGACGGTCTGCAGAGCCTGCACCAGATGGTCCCGGTGCTCCTTGACGTGGCCGGGGGTGGGGGTGATGCGGAGACGCTCCTCGCCGCGAGGCACGGTGGGGTAGTTGATGGCCTGCACGTAGATGCCGTGCTCCTCGAGCAGCTTGTCCGAGGCCTGCTTGGCCACCTCGGCATCACCAACGAGGAGAGGGATGATGTGGGATGGGTTGGGAATCACCGGGATGTCCAGCTCCTTGAGTGATTCCTTGACGGCGCGGGTGTGCAACTGCTGCAGGACGCGGTCGCGCTGGTGCTGCGCCTGGTATTTAATGGCGGTGTCCGCTCCAGCCATGGTAGCCGGGGGCAGAGAGGTTGTGAAGATGAAGCCGGGGGCGAGAGAGCGGATGGTGTCCACCATGGCCGCTGATCCGGCAATGTAGCCACCAACGCAACCATACGCCTTGCCGAGGGTACCGGTGATGATGTCGATACGGTCCATGACGGTTCCCTTGGTATCACGAGGGTTGGCCGTATCCTGAGAAGCGTAGATGTCGTAGTCGAGGTGCTCAGCCACACCCGCACCGTGAGGTCCGTACATACCCACGGCATGAACTTCGTCAAGGAAGGTGATGGCACCGTACTTGTCGGCCAGATCACAGATCTGTTCGATCGGGGCAATGGAACCGCACATACTGTAGACGGATTCGAAAGCGATAATCTTGGGGACGTTCAAAGGAAGAGATGCAAGTTTGGTTTCCAGATCGACCAGGTCGTTGTGCTTGAAAACCATCTTCTTGGCTCCAGAGTGACGGATACCCTGGATCATGGAGGCGTGGTTGAGGCTGTCGGACAAAATGACACAGTCGGGCATCTTACTGCCCAGAGTCGCCAGAGTCGCATCGTTGGCCACAAAGCAGGAGCTGAAGACCAGCGCAGCCTCTTTGTTGTGAAGCTTGGCCAAAGTGCCTTCGAGAGCGACGGCATGCTGGTTGTGACCGGAGATGTTGCGAGTACCTCCGGCACCAGCTCCATAGTTGTCCAGGGTCTGGTGCATAGATTTCAGCACCTCGGGGTTACGACCCATACCGAGGTAATCGTTGGAGCACCACACGGTCACCCTCTCTTCAGGAGAAGCGGTGTGGGCACGGGGGAACTCCTTGGCCAGGCGATTGATGTTGTTGAAGTAGCGGTACGATTTGTCCTTGTGTTTCTTCTCAAGCTCGCCCTGATAGAAGGCATTGTAGTTGAAGGGCGTGGCGTTGGGGGCATGGGGACGAGGGCCGGGCACGGTAGCGGCGGACGGTTCGAACTGCTGCTTGGTGACGCCGGAAAGACCGGGGTGAGCTAAGACAATGCCGTTAGCATATATGTTGGTGTTGAGGCTGTAGGGAAGGAATAATGGAAAAATACTAACCTCTCTGTGACTCCTTGTAGACATTCGGGGTCACATCAGCGCCATTGCCAGCGGTCGAATGCAACGCTCTCTTGCCGACAGTGGGCCGGAACTGCTTGGGGTTCAGGCCCGCCACACCGGCAGTATAAGAGGTGAACCGCTTGGTGTGAGCCAGGCGAGCACTCTGCACCGCCAGTGCCTTGCTCATCACGGGGCAGCGACGAGCCAGGACCTGGAGATTGGACATGGTGCCTCCGCCAGGGCTGATGCTGGGGCGGGTCGCGGTAGACAGTGAGCGCAAAGTGGTCGGGGAGGTGCGCTTGAGGAACGGGCACATGGCCCGGGACTGCTGGAGAAGCGACTCCATGGAGACTCGAATGAGCGGGCAGACAATTCGAGATGGAGAGTGCAAGCCGAAGGGATGAGATAGCCCCTAATTGACGATCAGGGAGCAGTGGATGTGGAGGAATGGGGAGAAGAAGAAGTGGGTAGTGAAGAGGAGAAGAAGGGGAAAAGGAAGAAGAATAAGACAGGATATCTGGAACTTTCAAGATTTGGGAGGGGAAAAATTACTGGCCTCCCGATTACGGGATTCCATGACCGGTAATGAATGTAATTTTAGGTATGACTCGCCGAGGCTGACGATCGAGACGCCGCTGATTGGCTGCTCGGCAGGCCGGCATGGGAGACAGCTTGCTGAGTAAGACGAACGGGCCACTCACGGCGCACATCAGGCCACCCGGTCTTTGCTCGGCAGGGAAGTTGGTGAAACCCTGGGATCGGACAGGTAATCGGTGTGTTACTCCTTGAAGTATACATCTGTCTCTTACTGCATTGTCTTCTGCATTATTTACTGCATGTTAGGATGCGGAGATGCTCGTTGGCGTATGCCATCCGATGAATCGGGCAATGTACTCTGTACAGGGAATACTACTACATAATACGTCTTGGGGACGATCGTTACAGCGCACGGGGGCAAAAAGTGCGGAGAAGACCGATCTACTACTGCAGTCACCGGGATTACTCATCCCCTCAAGGCCCAGAACCACATGCCATCAATAATCAAACCCCGAGCGAAAGAAGGAACTTGCAGAAATAAGATGAAGTGAAAATGTGTCCTAGTTCCAAATCCAATCACATGTAGAACAATACAAACATACCACATCCATCCGTCTATCCGTCGTCTGTTTCCCTCCTCGCCGCTGCTTTTTGGATGCCTCATAATGACTAAGCTCATGTCCATCCGTCTCATACATTACCGCAATAGTCTGCTCATCACCACACTGCCGCCCTAACCTAATGTCTCGTGTATCAAAATGCTCCTTGTTAATACATGACCTCGGATAACATAGCCCGAAGCCGAGGAAAGAAGTGAAATGAAGAAAAGGTGTTCGAATCGCAAAATAAATAAAAGGAAAATGGTAAGGATGGAAGAACCTTTAGAAACTTGGGCATAAACAGGAAAGATAAGAGGGAATGATATCCAAACGCCGCCATTCCGTCAAATCGTATGGGTAAAACGAGAGAATGAAAGTGCGAATGTCTGATCGGATCAGCTGGGACCCAGGCCTCCATCGCCGTCAATAAGACGCAGTCGCTCCTTAGTTGTCTTGGCGCGCTTGGACGTTCCCTTGCCCGATCCGCGTCCACGTCCACGCTTGGGTGCTGGGGTGGACGAGGGCGTGCCCACGTTCTCTGCGGTCGACACAGGGGTTGCTGCCCCGGATGGTTTGGCACTGGCATCGTCAAAGTTACCCTCGCCTAGGAAAGTTAGAATTCATCTCAGAGCTATACGTAAAGTGCGTAGGGATAGGCAT